AGAGCTTCGTTTGGCACCGTTTCGCGCGCACAAACGAAAGGAGCCTGGACTGCCGGCACCTGTAGAGGAAAGCTCTGAAAGGACCTCAGGGGGTGGGTAATCGAAAGCATAGAAAAAGAGCGCTCTGTAGAATGAGAGATAAACTTAGGGCCGTAACCCACAAAATGCAGGAGTTGTAAGTCCGGGTCATGAGTGTACTATGGAGTGGAACCATAGATTTTTGTTGCCCCCCGGCATGTTGACGAGTTATAAGTCAACGCGTTTGTTCCGGTTATTGACCGGTGAACCAATGATTCTCGTGAAACCACGTTGAATTGATGTGGCACTGATACAGGGTATTTAAAAGGTTACTGAACTTCAGATTTCAGATCTCGTCTTCCCTCGACCTTTCCTCCCTCACTCAGCTAATCCCCGATCTACAACTCCTGCGCTCATTGATCTTTCTCCTCATTTCGTGCCTTTGTGTTCTGTTCGTGTTAATAAATTTGAGTGAACTTGGCAGTCGGTTGTAGCAGAAGAAACAGACAGGGAACGCACATTTTTGACTTGGGGGCCAAGCTTCTGCAAACAACCAGGTCAGGCTCACTCAAACTTTGGCTATCTGCTGGCGGCTCCTGGACGGGTGCCAGCATTCTTGATATCTGACGGCTCGATCAGGGTGTCAGATAGCAGCGGTACCGATAGCCTGGCTATCGTTGATACCGTGGTGTCTTGGCCTCAGACGTGGATCAAAGGATCCGTCTAAGCCACGCCGTGTTATAACACGAGTGGACGTGGAAGGCCAAGACACTTTTCTTCGAGCGCCGTTACACCTGCAAGATGGGTGGTGAAGCTCAAAAAGATTGTGATAATACGCTTGGGAGCACAGAGAATTTATGTGTTATTGTAGAACCAAGCGAGCACATGGAAATGGCTGGTATTGGAAGCCACGACAGTGCAAGTAGCTCACAGATATCGACTCCAGAGGCAGAGTTTGAAGCACAGGTATGCACTAAACTCATTGAAAAGGTCACTAATTTGAGGATGGATGTTAATGCAGAAGTTGCAAAACATTTCCGCCTAGGTGACGAAAGACGCGACCAAATTGAGTCCGTAGTAGAACAGAAGATAGGGCGTATTTTAAAAAGACTGCAGCGGTTTAAGAGAACCATTGAGGCTCGCAGCTGTTCCGTTGCCGCATTGGGCGTAGTAGAGCAATACCTTGAATGGAGTAAGGAAGAAGAATTAGCTAGTAAGCTAGAACAACTCTTGACGGCTGAGGGCACCCTCAACAAAATTGTGAGGAAACTTAACTGTGGAAATACAGACGTTAAGCATCGAGTAAAAGGCTACTCAAAAACGAAAAGTTTCTTAACAGTACAATATCCTCTTTGCAGGATAAATGCACACGGAAAGATGAGGAAATTCGAGCACTAAAGGAAGAACTCGAAAAGCAAAAGCGGCGAGTGGCGGAATTGGAAAGCCCTAAGAACTGCGAAGGACAGCAAGCTTACCGAGCGGAGTACCAGGTAGAGTAAGCCGAGAAACTAGTAGTATAAGTGGTGACAATGAGCAAAACAGGCAGTTGCAGAGTGGCTGGCACAAGCGGGAGAAAAAGAAGGCCTGTCGTCGCGGGATGTGCAGCAGTTCGTCGAGGAGGAGCTGCACGAGTCTCAGTACGTTTTATGACTCTACTTTGAGCTCAAATGAAGAACGTATGAATGAGAGTAAAAAACGAGTGCCACATGGAAAACATCGGGTGGGAGCCCAGAATGTAATGGGAGAATACCTAAAGTTTATAGCATTGCCGGATGTTGTGCCATACTCGGGAAAAGATAAAGAGTACCCGTTTGAACACTTTGTAGAAGCGTTCGAGTTGAAGTACCCTGGTCAATACTGGGAAGACAAAGAGCGCTGTGCGTTATTCAGATCAAAGTTAGCGGGTAAAGCAAGGGCGCAATTTGAGGCGCTAGCTAAAGCAAAGAAGCGTAACTTCTACACATTAGTGAATGCGATGAAAGAGGTGTGTAGGGAGGAATCGCGCAATAAAAAAGTGGTTGCGTTAGGTGAACTAAAACGCCTGCGGAAACCAGAGACACAGTCAGTCGGGGATTTCTGTGTTGAACTAGAAAGACTGACGCGCCGAGCATATCCCGAGCTGGGAGAAGACACATTGTCAATAATACGTGCGGACCACCTCTATGATCAAATTTCTCATTTGGGAT